GCAGTGAAGCGTCCAGCATCTTTACCAGAATCAGAATATCCAACCATCACCTGTTTATGATAACATCGTAAGTATACAAGAGGTATTAAAAGTTTAAAACTGCATAGAAGTTGATTGGAAAATTGCTTCAAACCTCTTGATGCCCATTATGGTTCTTTATAACATGCTCCCGGTACCAATCAATTGATAACAATTTCCTGATCACTGAACCAGCACCTCTAAGGTCCTTGACAGTTTCAAACAGAGGAACCACCCGCAGCCTACTCGAAAGATAATTAAATCTAGTGATGACATAAGAGTTCAAAGGTGCAATATAAAATGTAATATGAGTTTGTCAGGGACATGCAACCTTTTTAACATTGGACTGAATTATATCAATGTTATGACACAAGTGCCAATTGTAATCTCCATTTTTGATGCTTTATACATTTCATCCAGTAAATATATATACATGTTATGTAGTGTGATTTAATAGATCATAAGATGAGAGAAGACTAACTTCTGCTAAAAACAAAAGTTGGAACCCAGTAAACGCAATAATAAAATTTCAAATCCAGAAAAGGCATGATGATAAATAATAAACACTAAACAAAGCGGATTTCTTTGATTATCTTGTACTATTATACATATAAGAATCTAAGAATATAAAACTTAGAGAGCAATACCAGCGTCTAAGAGGTACAAAACTTACATTCTACCGGGACATGGTCTACCCAACTCCCCACTAACAGCAAGTCGGGCATCTTTCTGCAGGAGCTCCACAGCAAGGACGTCACTTGCCTGCAATAAGCAACAAAAGTTAACATTACATCAATTCTCTTCTTTTAGTTCATAAACAACATGCAAAATCCTCTTCCCCCTTCCCCCTCTACAGCCCCAACCAACAAAGAAACGTCATGGCATGCACACACACCAAATAAGGAAAGAAAAGGAAGTTCTACTTTCAATTGCACAGGTTGAAAATATTTGGAAAAGGCAAAGTAGTTCAAGTAGTCATACATTGGATGCCATAGAAATCACATAAGCTCCAAGAGAATCGCTTCCCAGCTCAGCAGCAACTCGGAAGGTATCTAAGACTTCTTTAACATCAGGAGCAACCTGAAAAATAGTAAGTTGAGCCAAGAAAAGAAAAAGGTGAATAAAAATATGGGAAGCCATTGTTATGCCATTTGGTTGCAATGCTGTTGGAATGAGGATACCACCTTCCCAATTCAACTACATGATGTGTTACCAATTAGATACACATTCTATGTTTGTAATTCTTTAATAAATGCAAGTATAATCATACCAGCAACCAAAAGCATCAGTCATGCAAGTGGACACTTGCAAGCCCCTTCTCTAAGACATCACAAATTTAAACCTTTTGTCCAGGAAATCAAATGCAGACTTAGATAGCAATTTCAATTATAACCACAACACTGAACATGAAATAAATGGTTCGACATTGTCCTGTCCAATTTACAATAGTGAATCTTCACACTGCTTATTATCTACCCTTTCACCTTTGATTTTCCCAGAATAAAAAAGAAACTAATTTTGTGTAATTAACTATAACCACATAAGATGATTGTGTTGTGCACTTGTGCTATTTCTCAGAAAAAGAGTAATTTGTGGTGGATATTGACCCACTCAAGTTTTGGAAATTTGAACTCAAATGTATGAGTCCCTGTTAAAAACAATGAAAAGATAAACAGACCAAAACCAATAGCTGTTTTATTCTTATTAATGAAGAATTCAATTTATAGATACAAAAAGATGTTGATGTTCAGTTACTTGCAACTTTAAAACTTTTCAAACACATTACCTCTATAGAAGGAGGAACTAGTGGTCGCTTCCCTCTCAGCTCTCTTGTTAAAAATTCAAGTTTCTTCTCTTCATCCCATTCACTATAAGTTCCCATATCCAAATATCGGGTAATTGCATCTAGTGTCTCAGCATGCCTACCAGATTCCTGGTACGTATAAAAATTCAAAGTTAAAACACATAGCAGTGGTTTGTTGCCGAATATAAGCCAAAACAAAAGGACCTGTCGCAAGTCAAGCTTCATTAACACCATCCCAAAGGTAGCAACTCTGCGGATCAGGTCAGCAAGCCTACCATCAGCTAAAACACTGGCACCACATGATTGCTTCAAAAAGAAAAGATTACTATAGTTCAGTATTAGATTATGGCACCATAGGATTTCTTTTTCTGTTTGCAGGTCATCAGCATAAGTGGAAGCATTACCAATGACTCATAGCATATAAGCAGTGGTTCTAGAAGTTGATCCATTGTTTCATAGCAATCCCAAGGATCACATTCACAAGGAAGATCCTCAAGAAAAAGCTCCAGTCGTCTTCGTGTCTTCATAAGCTGACATCACAAGTCACCAAACACAAATTTTCTATGTTACTGTGCAAAGAAAATATATTAATGATAGCAAGTAGTTGACCAAAAGATGGTATTTCAATAAGAAGACAATAAATCCAAAAGACCGAAAATGACATTGGCTTCATTTCAATCAAATGCCCTTTTTTCTAATTAGTCAATATCATCCTATATTTATAAGAAATATAAATCCATCCTCTCACCACTTTGTCATGTGTCTCCAGTATCAATTTGAAGTTCAGAAGCTTAAAAGTGTACTCACTCAAAGCATGATAGTTAATGTTAATTTCAGTTTTTTCCCCGTAACAAAATTTTGGTTTTTCCAGATTAGTGTTCCTCAGGCAGCTACCCTGGGCCAGCCATTTTCTATCTTAAAATATTGATACCAATTACGCTTATATGTTGAAATTTTTAACTGCCTTGGTCTATTTTCATTTTAATTCTCCAATATAGTTGCTTTGAATTCTTTAAAAGCTAAAGGCATCCTTAGGGTAATACTATCAGATATCATCTCTCCCAGAACATTTTTACAAATGAAGCAAGCTCTTTTAGATATAGTTATCATTAGCCCAATTCTCACTAAACTATTATATAGGCTCTTGATTAGAGAAATTGAATTAATGTGTGCCTTAAGGCCTGTAAATTATCACGTTATTTAAGAAAAAGGGCAAGGGAGGACAAACAGTTGTTTACAAACCAAACGGTTTTGACTTTGGCCTTTCACTTCATCTGACACAGAGAATGAACCGGCAGCAATTCAATTTCCAAGTCTTAATTTATCCAAATTCAAGTTGCCCCAGCATTATTTACTAAAAACTCACAGATATGGTGAAAAGACAAACGTGCCAACATATGATGTAATTTCCCACCTTCCAAAATGTCCATTGTCATTCATGTGAAAATAAACCTTCCTTTTGGGGATTGAAGTCAACAGGACAGGACTAACATTAAATCAGACTAAACCTACAAAGACAATTATCTAAAAAGGGCCATAGTGTTAGCCAGAAATATAGGTGTTTCTTCAGCCAAACCAGCGTCCGATGGCTTTTTAACCCAGCTATCAAATTACATATATGTCAACTATAGAAACATGAATGACAGAAACAATACCTTTTCTTTCACATTGCCAAGGACAATTCGATAAGGAGCAATTCCAGGACGCTCAGACAAGCTTGGCTCAAGAAGCTTATGGAAGCTTGACCTTCCTATCTGAGATTCTGCAAATAGTTTCCTCTGAGCAAGCAGTTGATTAGATGAGAAAGACCCCCTATGCCCTGTGGCTAGCTGTGGGCCATTAACAGGAGTTCCATTGGAAAATGATTTGCTTACATTTTCACTGGAATTTTGGAATGAAGTTTCCGAATTCAAAGATCCCTTGCCGTCCTAAAAAAATTGAAGTTAGATTGAAAATTAAAGACAGACTGAGAAACTGTTTGCCACAATGCAATAGAAAAGAAGCATCTGAGTATCCAAAAGAAATTAAAGGTGGAACATCAAGCTCCAGAACCGCTTTCACCTTGCGACTCAAGGGCATGTAATCAGTCCTAGGAAGTTCTAGTTTGGGATACTGAGATTCACCATCATTGCAATCTATGACAACAAAAAAAAGTCAGATAGAACTATCAGCAACAAAGTGCTAGTTGATATTCCCATGATTGGTCACACATAAGTATGTATTTCGCATGTAAAAATGAAAAGTTATAATAGCTAAGGCATTTTGGCAAATTCACCCTCAAACTTTCAAATATGATAATAAGTAGAAAAGAAAAGAGACTTTTGAAAGGAATAGACGAATGATTAAATAATGTATCTTTTTACAATAAAGACCAAAATCTTCCTTTTTTTTTTTTTACCAGTGCAGGCAGGTAGATCTGCTCTAGGTGGAAGTTGGGTAGGAAGGGATGAAGCCTGATGGCCATGAAACTTCAGTTGATTTCGACTGAAAGGTTGATTCCTACCGTCGTGCCGATCATGTGATGAGGTTTCTGTACAGAATTTGACTTACGGTTAAATCTTACAAGCAGCAGAGAAATTGAAGATTCAGAAAAATCAAGAAAGTTTATACATCCTTCGATGCAGAAAGATTTTATATCTTAAAATTGCACCTAACTCATGAAAGTTTATATAAATGTAGACTGTTATTACAGCAAAGCAGTGTTATACAGAGAAACAAGACAGGGAGACTTTGAAAAGCCTAAGGTTAAAAATGCATTCCAATTTACCAAAGATTCCAAGCCATCTATAGCTCTATATTTTCTCTCCCTCTATAAAGCAAGGTGGAATTATCCTCCAAATTATGAAGTTTTCACAACTCATAATGGTCCAACCACTCATGAAATTCATCACCGTCTTCAGCATAAACAACTAGATACAAAACACAGTTAAAAATCTGTAGTGGCTTAACAGTTTCCTAAAGATAAGATCCTAACAATCTCCATTTCTCAATGTGCTAACAAATCACTTTCATCACCTACTGAGAATCAAAAATTAATTATCATCATATTAATATGGGCATGGGTTTTATATATTGAACTTTGAAGTTAGTATTGAAGTGAGGATGCCAAACTGAAACTTTTGGCCATTAGGCACAAAATGATCCATACTCCCGGCATTTCCTGGTCACCAAAGTCTATAAAATCAGCCAATTCTAAATCAGCATGAGATGACGTTAAAACAAAATAATAACACAGTAATCAATTTAGTCAAAAATAATTTGAACAAGCAATATGGTTCAAACCTGTTTCAAGAATTTCGTGTGCCAATCTAGACAACCTATCACTGCATTGATTCATGGACAGTTCAAATCTGAGGCCATCAATCTCCCGGATATAAAGATCAATGGCCATCCACCTAGATAAAAGAGAGACATCTTTCGTCACCTGTGACAAAGAGAAAAGAGGACCCATGTGATAAAATGGAGTGCAAAATTGTGAAATCAAAGTATTGGTGCCAATCTAGAAAAACCACAAAGCCAGGGCTCCAAGGAGCACCTACGAAAACAAAAATGCAACTACTAAATAGCATAAAACAGTTTTGAAGGAAGCAGTGTGATAACACCATTAAAACTTCGTTCACATGCATGCTACAATCCTAAATATGTCTCTGTGAGTTTAATTTGATCTGAAGAAAATAAAATAAATAATAAAATTCCAGATTAAACATGATTTGAGAATTAAAAAAAAAAGAATTACAAGGTCAAAGATTTTGAATGTCAGAAATTAGCTAAACTATTTAGGAGGATTGTTACTAAATGCTGATACAAGAGGATGCTATAATCCCTACCTTTGCTGTGACATTTGGATTTCCATCTCTATCACCCCCCATCCAAGATCCAAATTTTATGGGAGTGCATGTGAGTGGAAGTGGCTTTCCTGTATGCTGGAAAGAAAATAAAAAAAAATTTCTTATTAGACTGAGAAAGAAAAGCATGCGTCTTCCATAGCTTACAACCACAAATTAACATCATACTTTCTTTAGAGCATTGCTAACTCGTCGTAAGTAATGAGGTACAGCTTTCCAAAGGGACTGCTCTACAATGTTCAAGCCTGATAACAAAAAAATTTCCATTACTTGTAGGCGCGAAATAGTAATTTTCTAAAAGATAAAATGCATTTAGTATATGTAGAAGTGATGCAATGTACCAGCCCTAGCTTCATCTACCGGTGTAGGCTTATGGCGTCTTAGTTCATCTGTCTGCCATATAGATGTTATCTCTCTCACCTGAAAAGCCAAAATGAACTTCAATTAAGAAACATGAGATAATTTTTCTTTGTATAACCACACAGAGACTTGACATTCCCTTCAAACACACCACACACAGACACACACAAGAATAAGATGAAAATAAAGACACAAGGAGAGGGGCAAGAAATTAAGGAAAAGATGCAGTGTGGATACCAGATCTTCTATTAGCATTTCTCGATCTTCATGACCAAGATCAGGTCGGTCATTATAGTCTAACAAATGCTGCAAGGAAGGTGTGGCTCATTTTCATTACATAGTTCTAACTCAACATTTAAATAACAATATCACTATTTCAGAATAGCCATAAAAAACGTACAGCTATTCTTATGTGTTTATATTGTAAGGTACGACGGTTAATTTGGGTGGGATGTGCAGTAAGAACAATCTCAACCTCCTGCAGCAAAAATGAATTAGCAGTTAAGAACACAAATTTGAAAACTGCATAGCTGTTTGACATGCAAGTATGTTACTCTCCATGTCGCTGGATAGAAAAGTAGAATGTAAAAAAGTTCTTCATTTCTAATTTTATTTGAGCATGTAAGAGAAGTTCTACATAACATCACTGAACACCATGATTATTATTAAAAAGCTGAGGGATTTGCAAATACTCCCTTCATTTTCCTAATTAATAACTTTTAGTTTAGAAAATTTATAAAGAATTAAAGAAAATCAGTAATAAAATCAGTGATGAAAAAGAGACCTGGTTGCAAACAGTGCTGTAGAGGTCATCTGGAGAAACTCCACCCTGCACCAACTGGCTGAAAATGTCATCACAAGATTTTGACAGATGTGTAACACTTCGTACCTTACGAACCCTGCATCATTATCAAGTAATACCACTTAAGCCAGAAAATATATATATATATATATAATACATATTTCTTTAGACAGTAAACTGATAAGCAGAACCATCACCGGTGATGAGTTTCAGCAATTCCCATCAAATTGAGATAATGACTGAATGCCCGAGCCAGTGTCAAAGCTTCCTCTAATGTCATGTTTGATATCTCTGTAATCAGCTGTTTCTCTAGCAGCTCTGCTGTATCCTCTATCCCAGCCTGCCGCATATTGCAAGCACTCTGAAACATGAAAAGAGTTTTAAAAAATCATTCTCAAAATCTTATACCTCTGTTCCTTGCTGGCAAAATACAGGAAAAAAAATAATAATGAATCGAGTCCAAAAGAAAAGAAAACACTCGAAACATTGATAAAAGGATAAATGGCCATTTGCCTTGATTTGAATCTAATTTTATTATTAATCGCTCTTTTTCCAGTCTTATTTTCTCTATTTTCTCAATCATACAGTAGGATCCAAACAACATATTTTGAAAAAAAAAAAAAAAAAAAAAAAAAAAACAAAAGTTAAAGTGCTGTAAAACAATTCCAAACAAAGCTTTAGGTAACCTGAAATGATACCACCCATTCTACCAAAAAAATACATATATACAGATTTTAATTCAAAAACTCGATTATCCTTTATTCCCAAAAAAAAAAAAATCAAATGCCAAGTAGCATATTTCTTTTAATAGTAGAGAAGTTAAGTGAGAAAATTACTGTAAAAGTAAGACCATTATTGCATGCATGATTTCATCATCCGTTTTTCTAACTAATACTAATAACTCATTAATCTAAGTGCAAGGAGTTTGATTTTTTTAAAATAAAATCTCAAATTTAAATCATATAAATGAAGAAACAGGTTAAGTGGGAGTTTTCTCACTTATAAGATTTAATCTTATTTGATTCTGCATTAATAAAAGCCAATGTAATTTTTGAATATTAAGAGTTAGTATAAAAAAAAAATACTACCTACCTAATTCCAAATTAGATGTCAATATAAATTTATCAATTCAACTAACAGTTCAATATGCATGGTAAAATATTCCTAGGAGGAGTCAAATTCAACAATACAAACACAAAGCATTTGGACATATTAAGAGTCTAATTTATGCGTAGAGACCTTTTTCCAAAAAATATGTATGTCAAAACAAAGAAATTTAACTATATATGGCCTTTTCACCTCGTGCATGCTGGCCTTTTCACTTGGTTAAGATAGTGAGTTCTGGATATTAGTGGGTCACACCTCAAGATTTGTGAAAATCTTGGGCAATCAAAATCCCCTTAGATAGTTGGCATTAGTATTTGATTATGTTTACCAAGGTGGTTTTATATGATTATGAACCAAAAGGCTACTAACCCAACTACCCTTCACCATTTAATTAAATGAAAGAAAAATGATGGGTAGAATCCAAGCAAACTTTAGGACAAAACTTCACATGTGATTACTATAGATAGTTAGTTGGCTTTGACGAAGTCCTTTACTTCCATGGGACAATATTACTTTCTAGCAGTACAAACTATCTACCGTCGAAAATATACAATACTTTTCCAGATTGTTAAGTTTTGGGATTCACGAAAAAGCTCACACTTCTAGTGTAATTACACATTACACCATTGCCCAATAGAGAATTTTCATTGATGATGTTTCTTGAATGTTAGTAAGTAGGAGATTTTCTCTCTCAGGGCGTTCTAATTTAATATAAGTTCTATCGAAATTTTATTTGTCATTATGTGACTAGTAAATATATTAATATTTTTAATATAAATAAAGGCATCTTAATTTTTATTTCTTTTAATATATCAAAAGGGAAAAAATTGGGGTATATGATATTCATGTGGTCAATCGTCACAATGAGGGCAGGTTCAGTAATCAGTAGGCCTACCAGCATACAAAAAGCTGGTATGGACAAGAAAAGGAAATTAATAAAAGAATTGGCTTTAGGCAAAATTTGACTTTGTCTTAGTCTAAGAAGTTGAAAATGTCCTAGTACATTCCGTTATGGCATTGACATGGTTAACTTGACCTGATGCAATATCCATGCACTTGGAGATTTGGACCCACCACCCATCAAAAGAGATTCAACCCTCCACAAAGTCAAATTAAAGACATTCTCAGAGTCAGAGACGTCCTTACCCAAGAATTGTTCAAAGGAAATGGATTCAATGTGGCTTGGACATTAATAAAATTCCATTTCCCACATGAGTTGCTGTATTTTTGTTTAGTTTTATACACGAGTAATTCACCATTTTTGATAAAAACAAGATAAGTCATTTATGTTTATATTAAAAAAATTCATAAAAATTTACTTTTTAATCCTCGACATAGCATTGAGAACTAAACTTATTAATTCAAGCCAGGGTGCCATCACAATCTTAATACCTCACATGTTCCTTAAAGTAAGATGAGGCTGTGAAAGGAGGCATTCCGTACTGTTATTTTATTAGCAAATTTCCATCTTTACTAATGTTAAAGTTAGATGGTCAATTAAAAAATAAATTTAGGTCGTCAAGGTGACGCATATATGCCAAATGAGTGAAAATGTAATTGAGAATTGTGAGTTGAAACCAGCCTCTTCCCACTACATCACTTTAATTTTAAAGACCCTTTTCCATTCTCACCATTTCACTTTTCCCTTTTTGGTTTCGATGACAGAGCTTTGTAAAATTAGCAAAAAAAAAGAGACTCTGTTTCAGGAACAGAGTAAAACAGAGCACTCTGCAAAATCAAATCGATGTTGTAATAAACCCATCACAAAGATGATTTTGATAGTTCTTCAAACTGGTGATTATATGGTAAAAACCAAAAACTCATTTCGTGAATGAGATGTTTGTGAAGATACAGGGATTTGATGTTTGGACGGAAGATACAATGAGAAGTGGGCCAAAGGTGACAGTAGAGTCTACCCTAAAACAGTTGATGTTGAATGACATTTATGACTAATCAAAGCAGACGTAAATCCTTGCTTTTTCTTAATGATCTAAAGTAAAAACATGAAAAAGAAAGATGGAATAGGTAAATCATCACAATTCCTAGATTGGTTGCAAGAAAAAAAGATCATCACAATTTGATTCACAAATATGCAATTTCCTATTACAGTAATGTATATACATAAGTTGGTAATAATAACATCAACAAAAGCTTAATCACCTATAATTCTGGGGTATATAACTTTCTGATCTTATTGAAATGAAAACTAAATGTAAAAGAAATCTTTCTAATTTATATACATTATAACTAAGAGTCTCAATCCCAAAGAAAAGAAAAACATGATCAGTTTCTTCTTGTAATCATTCGATCACTAAAAACACACCAAAAAAAAAAAGAGGAAAGAATTGAGGAAGCTACGAAGAGAGAGGATTTGGTCCTCAATTTGGAGGTACTGAATCAGACTCTTCGTTGTGCCTTTTGGAAGGACCAGAAGGGGGAATAGGGTCCCCCTTGGGGAAGAAGTTGAAGAAGTGCCCTCTATATTCAAAGCTCGTCTTCTGCTCTGTTTTATGCGCCCCTATGCTCTCGAGATTGATGAAGACTTCATCGCCCAAGTTCATCGTTACGCCTGGTCTTGTAGCACAACTTGGAGAAGCAAGAAGCAAGATTATGAACAGAACCCCAAAGTTCCACGAACTTTGCTTGAATTTAGAAGAAGAGGAGGAATTGGGAGCCATGGTTTCAGCAGGGGAAGAGATTTTCAATAAGTTCGGTTTGGCTATTGGGACTTGGGAGGGATTTAGAGAGTACAGGGGAAGATTTAATGTGTCTTTACTGATTGAGATGGGGTTTTATACTGCATGAAGAAGGATAAAAGCGGGGCGGATGGATGCAAAATTGCAAATGGAAGGAAATTAATATAGGGAAGGAGGGGAGTGAAATGTACGCTAAAGAAAATTCAACTATGAATTTCTGACAAATGTTTCGTACTTTTCTTGGAGGACAAGTGCTCAACATTAAAATATTATTGACAAATTAACATAAAAAAGAATTTTATTTAAAATATTATATTTTAATAAATTTATGGATTAAATTGTATTTATAGTTTTGACTTAAAATTTTTTTTTATTTTGATAAATATTGAAAAATAATATTTGGCGCTTGACTAATTAGATATATGCTAATATTTGGTATATAAACTTAAACTTTTAATATAGATAGTGTTTGATATAGAGATTTAAAATTAGTAATTAACCATTTAAATTAATTAAAAAAAGATATTTAAATTATAATAAAAAATTATTATGTAATTTAAATTGTATAATTAAAATTATTAAATAAAAAATAAGTTTTTTAATATTAAGAACTTGTTTCCTATCAAATAATTTCTATTTTGCAATATGTTACTGGTTTTTTCTTTTTTTTTTTTGTTTCCTTGGGAAAGAAGTTTCTTTTTTCTTTTTTTTTTTGTTAAAATTTATTTTTTCTTTTCCTTCTTTGGGGTCAACAATTGAGATTTTCCATGAAAATAAAAGTGGGATTTTCCTGCAAATTCTGAAAGAGGCAGTGGCGGAGACACGTTATGACCAGGGGTGGCGGTGGCCCCCCCCTGGCTTTGGAGAAGAAAAATTAGTTTGTGGACTTTCAAGTTTGTAATTAAAGTAAATTTGATCCATTTTTAATCATTTTTATCCTTAAAATTAATAATTCTTCTTCTTCTTCTTTTCATTTTCCTGTTCATTGATATATTGGGAACCCTAGGTCATGATTAATTTGCGTACTTTTGGTGACAATTAGGAAGATTAGAAAATGGAGATGCTATAAATGATGAGAAAAAAAATGAAGATTAATAAAATTATGATGTTTACAGTATTATCCTATTTATTTTCAATAGTTGTTTCTTTGATAATAGTTTGAAGGATTATTTTTAAACATTTAATCTTTGTTCAAGCTTATTTAATTTATATTTGAATCTAGAAATCTTTTAGACATATCAAATATTATATATTAATTTATACTCTAAAAAAAACCTTGTAAAATATAGTATATTAAGTAGTGATTTAAAAATTCTACTCTTTCTATTCATGAATTGTTCAGTTGATGAGATTCTAACCCATCTATAGTTTATTTTTAGGGTTGATAATATTTAAGTTATTGATATTCGATTTAAATATCACTGTAAGTATCCATTATAATATATGGTTAGCTTAATCTTAGATTTTGTGACTTTTTCTTATCATAAACTTTCTTTACTAAAAAAAAATGCCCCCCCATAACAACAATTCCTGGCTCCGTCCGCAGAGGTACCATGTCATGTGGAGTGGGATTCATAAAAATAGCCTGGAAAAAATACACATCTAATCTACAAACTCATTTCCGGCCAACTTTGCTACAACAGCACGACCCTTTCCCTTTGGGAAAACACTTGTGTAATTGCTTCCTTAACTCAATTTCCAGATATTTTCAATGTGTTTGGCAGGTTGAAAATTGTATAGTCATTCAGTCGCATCTATGATAATTATCATTGATTAATTATTATAATTTTCAGTTTTAATTATTTCTTATCATAATTAGATTTCTTGATGAATGAGTGTAACCTAATCTCAAACGCAGAAAAATGCTATTTCAAAGAAAACAAGTTTTGGTGGCACCAGTTCTTGCGATTTTTTATCATATAAAATTATAAACCTTCCCTTCTATCATGAATCATGATCATAATATAATTATCTAGGTTTATATTAAATTAATAAAATGGTTCAAAAAATATTAAATTCATAAAAAGGGCAAAATATAAAACGAGAAATAGAGGAACGCCTATAGTTCAAGTGGCCTAACTTGAGTATTTAAGGGTTCGATCATGTGATGCTTGCCCTCCATCTCTTCTCACAAGATATATTGAATCACTTGGTTTGTTTAAAAATAATAATGATAATAAAATGAGAAATAAAACATCTAGAGTTAGATATTTACCATTAAGTAAGTGTTATTTTATATATCCAATTTAAGGTTTAAATTTTAAGATCAACAAAAAAAAAATTAATTTTTTTAAATGTATTAACTAATGCAAGAATATATCCTTAAAATTACTCAAAGAAGTATTTGTTTTGAAATATGATTTAATGCAAGTATTTTCTTAAATGTATTAAACTAACTTGAAAACACATTAAATGTCTTAATTGAATGATTTAATTTTGGGAAGATCAATTGGTGCCAACTCCCATGATCATGACTACCAGAGATGAGAGGCTGCTATCTAGATTTGGCAATTTTTTACCCAACCCGTTAACCCGTTCATTACCCGCTCGTTTAAAACGGGTTAGGGTCATATATTTGTGACCGGTGACCCGTCAATGACCCATTAAGAGAACTCAACGGGTCACTGATCAATAACAGGTTGACCCATTGGGTTAACGGGTTTGACCCGTTTACCCGTTTAAAAATATAAATTTTTTTAATTTATTATTTATTTATTTTGTTTTCGAATTCCCAATCCCACCTAAACCTCTAATAATTAACTAATATTCCCTAATTAACTAATATTCCCTAATTAACTAATTGATTCTCTTGACTCATCATCTTCTAGGAGTAAAAATAATTCCACTCCACTCATAACTCATCTTCCAACCTTTCCTATTATTGCTTGCCCTAATACTCTCGAAAACTCTAACTCTTCAAACTTCAAACTCTTCTCATATTCTTCAACCTTCATAGTTCATACAGCTTTTGACTCTCAAGCTTCGACTCCACCTTTTCTCTTTAGTTTTTAACATTATTTCAGACTTAAATCTTAGTCTTATCGAGTCACCGTTACGTCTACTCAGCCTTTTCTTTTTTTCTCCTATGAGTCCGGTAAGTGCTCTTTTTGTCACCAACTTTTCTCTCTAAATACTTCAAGGTAAGTTGTTTACTTATTTATGCTTTTTAGTTTTCTTTCCATTTCAAGTAAAAATTTTACTTGATTTTCTCCTTTACTTACTTAGATGCATTCAATTGATTATTCTTTGAAAGCAATGACCAAAACAAATATGTTCCAATGGGTTTTGTGTTTTTTGGTTGTCATGCTACTATTGCTTTTTTCTTTTTTTTTTTTGCTATTGAGATTTATAAGTGTTGTGTTCTTGAATTTGATTAGTGCTGTTTTTTAAAGGGAAATAAAAAAGGTGATTCTGAGGAAATATAAATATGTATTTATTAAATTAATAAAAAAAATATTTTTATAAGATATTGAATTTCTTTTTTAAATCTTTTGAATAATTTTCTTTAAATGATAATAGGTACAAATTATAGAGAGAAAAAAATTTAATTGGGTTAACTCGCGAGTTGACCCGTGACCCGTGACCCGTGACCCGTGATGAGCCAGTTAAGATCTACCTTCATTGACCTATTACCCGTTTTAATCAAACCCATTTTGACTCGTTACCCGTTTGACTCAACTAGACCTAGCAAACGGGCGGGTTGGGTCGGGTTAGGGTCGGGTCAACTCGGGTAACGGGTTAGACGGGTTGGGTTATAAACGGGTTGTGGGTTGGAAACATCCAACCCTAACCCGACCCTAACGGGTTACGGGTTAACCCGCGAGTTAACCTTATTTCATTCCTTATAATTATTTTTCGTTAATTTTATTATACACAAATAAAATTATATATATCTAAATATAATTAAAATATTATGATTCATTAACATTAAATACTTTATAATTTCAATTACAAACATTTAAATTAAGAAAAAAATA